AGGTAGGCAGGTAGGTAGGTATGCATGCAAATATTCAGGTAGGTTACTACTATATAACAGCATATTATACGGTTCAGGCTGCCCTTGGCATTTCACCGAATCCATGCCCCAGAGAACCCTAGATCCGAAACTTGAAGGCAGACCCCAAGTCCTAAGCCTAGGGCTCAACCCTAACCCTGAACTCTAAACTTTAAACTTTAAATGGTCAACGTTCAGCGGCCTAAACCCTAAACGGGTTCAGGTCCTGTGAATTCAGGCCCACGACGCAGGTTGCAAAGGCATGGGCATCGAAGTGAGCTGGGTGTGCTCTTCGCTCGTTCGCCTGATGCAACATAGGAGCTAGCCACAATCAGACGAGGGATTTGGGGAATATGTTGTAGTGTGAATACAGGTAAGTATAAGGGGGCTATAATAAGGGGACAGTACTACCAATGATTTCGATAACCCTAAACCCTGAACCCCTGATACAGTACGAGGGCTTAGGGCTTGCGTTGCCGTTTGAGGCTGCAGAGCGTGGAGTTGAGGGCCCTGGGTTTGGGGGTTTCAGGCTTTAGTAAGGCCCAGGTTTGAGTTTCGGAGCTAAGGGTTTAGGGATGTTTAGGGTTTTAGGGTTTAGGGATGTTTAGGGTTCTAGGGTTTAGGGATGTTTAGGGTTTAGGGTTGCGGGATTGCAGCAAACACACAGCATCCGAAATCCCAGTATCACCACAGCGAGCATCGAATGAAAAAAGAGGACCCGTCGGCATTGAGGCTTAGGGTTGAAAAGATCTGATTCAGACCCCGCCGATCCGTCCTACGTAGCTGCGAGCCCCTTTGACTCAAAACAAATGTGTGTGCGCACGCTTTTTTGAACATCCACTGAACTTCTACTATAACAAAAAACGATGAAAGATTCCTAAGGGGAACTCCCCCATACCCTGTACAACCCCCTAAAGCCCGATTTAAACCCGTAATTGCACACAAAAACCGTAAACAGTTTCAGGTGGAAGCGCTTCCTTTCCGGCCAAGCCGCGAGGTAGCGGCGCATGAGGCAGGTGCACAACGCGGCGCCTCCCGGGACCAGGGCCTTTGTTAGGGTCCTCAATTTTAAGTTTAGGGTTCAGGGATTAGGGCTTAGGGTTTAGGGTTTAGGGGTTTCATGATATAATACAGGTGCTATGGTGCTGTACAGGGACTAGGGCCTAGGGTTTACTTGGGGCTTATACTATGCTTCGTAGGGATCTACGCAGGCATCCGGAAGCCGTGAGGCCCTATAACCTCGCCACCCCGAAGCCTGGACCAACCAAACCTCTTTAAGGCCGTGTCATACAGAATGGGGCTTTGGGGTATCTTGTACTGTCCAGCTATAAGAAGGCCCCATAGTAGCCCTTGCATCCAACGCTCTGAAGCGCAGCATGCGAGCTGTGCTGCTTTCGGGATGTTTCAGGAATAACTGAAGCAAGATAGTTTAATGAACAACCAATGCAGCCACTAAGTCCCAAGGGCAAGCTGACTTGTTTAACCCAACTCTAAGCCCTAATTCCTCAACCCATACACCCCAACCCAATAAACCCTAAATTGAAAGCAACCTGGGCAATGGAAGCGCTCCCGCAGCCAGGGAAGGAGTCGTTGAACCAGATCGCAGACGCAGTCCCAGAGACCTAGCTAGCTACTCAAGGAGGTGGCCGAGTTCAGTTGCCAGGGATAAGGTTTAGGGTTTAGGGTTTAGGGTTTAGGGTTTAGGGTTTAGGGTTTAGGGTTTAGGGTGGGCCTTAGGCTTAGGTTGTGAGATGTTACTGTGCAGAAGGGCTTTGAATGCTTCCGTTAGCCGAGGTCTGAGCAGTACGCTCGTCCGATCCCTCCACCCGACAGCTTGACACACTGTAGGACAAGAGTCGCTGCTCCAGAACGTCGCCACGGTCGAAGACATACGTCCTTGGAAGCAATATTCTGTTCTTGGTGTTCGCAGACGCTTGTCCTGTTCTTTCTATCAATGAAGACTGCCGCTGCCAGCAATCGACTGACTTGTTGCAATTCTAAGCACTCTTCTTTTACAGTTCTCACCACGTTTTACAGATTCTTCCTTTACTCAGAAGCTACATGGCGAAATCTGCGAGACACGGCGAGAGCCTAGCATTACCAGCCACACTAATTCTGTTCAACTTGCGCCTGTCGCACCACAAGGTAGTCGTTCCACAGGGTAAGCATTCACCACAAGTACTACTGCTATTTTCCGAGAATCGGATGTTTTGGGGGACTTGGCGTGCGGGCCGGGTAGCTCGCATAGCTTCGGGTAGACACATCAAACCGGCTAAAGACTTGTGGAGGACAATCGGACATAACAAAGACACAGTGTTGTCAATAAATCCCCAAACTCGTATACCAGAACTCTAAGCACAAACTAAGGTCCCAGTGGCTCAAAGCTTGGCTGCCCATCGACGCTGTCCGGCCGTGTGCTGTACTCCAGACCATGTCGTGCAGCCTGAAGGATGCGCATCACCTTGGCTACTGGCGGTTCAAGGCAATCTTGTGAGATGATCTAGCGCTCGTAGAACGATCCTTCAGCTAGTCTGTATTGGGTGATATCGGGCGGTTCCTGAGTCTTCGACAAATTTCATAGCCAGGCTTGGCGGGCAGAGATTTTAGGGTTTAGGGTTTGGGGGTTTAATTTAAGGTTTAGAGCTCTTCCTCACGAACGTAAGATCCGACTCAACTTCCTAGGTGTCTGTGTGTCACTCTTTTGGAAACTCAAGTTAAGTTCGTTAACAAGCACCCAGTTTTTTAAAAAAACTGAACACCAAACCCTAAATCCAACAAGATCAAGGCCCAAACCTTGCCAAGCAAATTTATGTTACCTCGCTGTATCCCACGAAGGAATCCTTATACCACACTGTTCTATTACCGAAACAGCAGAACCAACACATAAACAACACAACAAGCACAACCAACATCTGAGCTTAACTAGACCCTCAAACTCACAACGCCAAACCCACAAAAACACTCTAAACCCTACGCTAGCAAACCCCAAACCCTAAACCCGAAACCCTAAACTCGAAACCCTAAACCCTAAACCCTACACCCCAAAGCTCTTGAGCTCATGGGAGCCTCCTCCTCAGATGCGAGGTTCTTGGCGAAATAGGCGGGGACTTCTTTCCCGGAGCAGCTCCGAAAGGTCTTGAAGAGCTCCTTTTGGAGTTTAGGGTTTACGGTTTACGGTTTAGGGTTTAGGGTTTAGGGTTGAGGGTTTAGGGTTCAGGGTTCAGGGTTGAGGGTTTAGTTAGTGTTTAGGGTTGAGGGTTTTGGGTTTAGGGTTCAGGGTTTTGGGTTTAGGGTTCAGGGTTTAGGGGTCCGGAGATCAGGCTAGCTGTAAGCTACTCTAAGGCTACTCTCAGACACTGTGAAGCTTACCAAAGTAAGGGAAAGAAAAGGGGGCCCATACAAGGTACCATAACGGTTTCTAGCAGGGCCCCTTCAAAGGACGGGTGGCTTCAGGGTCTTAGGGTTTGGGAGTGCAAGTTTCGGGGATAAGGGCTTTAAGTGTTTGTGGTTTTAGGTTGTAGAGTGGGAATGGATTTCAGGTAGAGGCTTTCATGTAAGAATTGGACTTTGGCATATACTGCAGTATACAGGACACTGTAGGGGCCTTAACGGATAGGGTAGGGCTGTTGGGAAAAACTGCTGTATGCTTATAGAGTTAAAGGAAACTACAGGTGGGGAGTCTAGGGTATATAGGGCTTCCATAAGGCTTTTAAAAGATTAGACCTTCTATGAGGCTCCTATAACGGGAACTGGCCACCTGAACATGTCCTAGATACAAGAGCTTGCCGGGATAATGTTGCCAAGTCTTCAGGCTTCTATACTCACTCTTTCCACAGGGGACTGCTTCAAGTCATGCTTAAAGCCTCATACCACGAAGAACCCAAATTAACGACAGTCCCGGGAACCCTAAACCCAAAGCCCAAAACCCTAAACCCTAAACCCAAAACCCAAAACCCCTAAACCCTAAACCCTGAGCCAAAATCCTAAACCCTAAACCCTGAAGCCAAAACCCTAAACGCTCCGGATCTGAGCTTAAAGTTTAGGTTTGGGTTTAGGAGTTTGGGGGTTTGGGGGTTTCGGGTTTAGGCTTTTAGGGGTTTAAGGGTTAGGGTTTAGGGTGTAGGGGTGAGGGGTTTAATGTTAAGGGCTTACTGTTTAGGGTTTAGGGTTGTGGTTGTAGGGGCCGTCTGGTGTGGAACGCCCACATGGGGCTGGTTTAGGGTTTAGGGCTTAGGGTAGATTTATATGTTCAAAGTGGGACAGCTGCTCCTGACTTTTGCCGATACCATCGGTCTGCTGTGCCTGAGGGCAAGCACAAACCTATTCCAAAAGCCCTAAACCCCTAACCCCCGCAAACCCTAAACGTTAAGGGTTTAGGGCTTTGGGGAAGCCTCAAGTTGCAGCAGTGGCATCACCTAAACTGAAGCCTATGATCCCTGAATGCCCTAAACCCTAGGCCCTAGACTATCAGAACAGGCAAGAGGATCACGAAACCCCCGATCCTATGTGCTAACTTTAAGGGCTTGGCTATAGATCCCACCTACTCCTTCTCCCATACCCTCGAAACTAAACCCCACCTCATACTGCTGGTCCTATGCACTTCTGTCAACTGATTGGCCTCATAATTCTGCCAGTGAAAACCGCAAAAACCTGCAATGCTCAACTTACAACTTCTATTTAATCTTTTGCTTGGGGGTTTAGGCTTCAGGGGTCTAGGGTTTAGAGTTCAGGTCTGCGGTTCAACCTATCCAGGACTACCAGCATTCACATTTGCGTTGTACATACTTCTGGCTCAGATGCTTCTATCGGGGTTAAGAGTCTAAGGTTCAGGAGTTGGGAGACAAGTCTCACTTGCCGTGGTTGTAACTGCCCACTGGCATTGAGACAACACTGTCATAACTAGTACCGCTACTACCACTACTAATCACCATCAATGGCCAATAGTAAATTATGGTAATCGTCATATAATGTCATACAACCAATATATATATATATATAAATATATATATGTAGATATACATATGTGTATGTATGTATATATATATATATACATATGCTACCCCCGCCCCCCTCATGTGCCTACCTTTGGTGTGTGTTTGTGGTGCTTGTTTGTTGATTTTGTATACTCATGCATGTAGTATGCTTAAGAACTAACAGTTGCTAACAATGTCCCGTGAACACCCTCCAACACCAGATCACTACGAT